CTGTGCTGTCGTATTGGTTTCTACGTGTGTTGGGCAGCGAGCCCTGGCTCAGAGACAGTGGTGATTACACCCACTGTGCAGATGAAGAACTTGAAGCCCAGCTTATCTGCTGGTACGGAACTGTCCGAGGTCACACAGCTGGTAAATGGCAGAACGAGGATTTGAACCAGGTCTGACTCAGTCCACACTCTTAACCATCAGTCTGCAGTCTTGTTATACGTAGAGATGAACTCAGAGCTGCGGGCACACAGAGGGAGGTGTTCGGGGATGGTAGAGGGAAGAGAGACTGAGGAAGACTTACTGGAGTGGGGGACCATTGCGCTTGGGACTTGAAATTTAGGAAAACCCACTGTGGGAACAGTGAGATATTCCTTACTGGAGATTGTTGATGAGTTAGTTGCAAAGTATCTTTAAGTGCATAAGAAATTTCTGGAATCAGGCACTTGGGTTCAATCCTCGCTCTTCTTCCTGTCGACTGTGTGATTTTGGGTTAGCTACCTAACTTCCGTTCCAATTTCTTTATCTGTAAAATTGGGAAATAATACACAGTACTGACACTTGATAGATGTTAGGTATCATTTTACACAACTTGAGTATTAAGAGCCCACTACTAACTAAAGTGATATTGACAAGCAAAGTCATTCCGATGGCACACCGACTTTGCCTTCAGGGGCACACGGCAAGCTCATGGGGGAGCCTCCTTGAAGCCTGTCTCTCTACGCTTGAGGTGAGGAGAAAGCACCCCTATCTCTGCCCTTTGGAGGGAGTGGTGAGACTCACAGCACCTTCTATCTTCCAGTTTTCAATTCTTCCTTTGGCCGCTCCAATTTAACTGTTTTATGCCCCTGAGCAAATGAGGTATCAAGGGCAGTGAATCAGTGTTTTTTGCTACTTGATCTTCAAGTCCTGTGGAAGGCAACCTCCCTTTGGGGTTAGGGGAGTCAGCCCACTGAAGGTCCTGGCCTTGGCCAGACTGACACTGGTCCACAAGTATTACTTGTTCCATACACTCAAGAGCCAAATAGATTTAGAGACAAGTTTTGATAAATCCCAAGCTATCTGAAATCTTGCTACTCATGATCCCAAACCCAAGAACCAAATGGAGGATGAAATGGTTTCCTGGTCATCTAAACCTCGTCTGAACTCGCCCTATGCAGATAGGGAGCTGGGCAGACGGGGGGAGGGGTGCTTGCCATTGCTGTATTTTGTCATCCTGCTCATCACAGGGTGGCTATGAGGACTGACTGAGGTAATGTGTCTGGCATGGCATTTGGCCTGTGCTGGGCATTTTTCATTCTAGAGGATAACGACATGGCACCATCCTTTCATTTTGTAGCAACGATGGCAGAAAAATAGCTGTAAATTCACCGGGCGACCATTTCAACTGTTTCAGAGTTGCTTTGGATACAGAGGTATTGTAATAATCAGACAAAATCCATTCCCCCGCCCGACCCCCCGGCCTCCGCTTGCCTGGAGCTGAGCGTGGGTGTCCCATCCACATGGCCAGCCCCCTGTGGCCCCCGACATGGGTTTCCCTCCTGGATACTACGTGTCTGTGGTCCCGGATATTCACGGGTGAGGCCCGCCCTCCTGCACTGCTAGCTGCTCAAAACCTTCCTTTGCATCTAACACATTGCTCTCATAGGATTAATTAAAAGGACAAGTATCTTTCTAAAAAGCAGAAGAAACTTGTAACGAATTTAAAGCAAGAGAAAAATCCTCATTTAAGCAACATGTTTTTCCCAAGATCCCAGCCCAAGCATTCAGAAAAGTGCAAAAACATGCATTATTGAAAAGCTTTTTAAACGAGCAACTTTTAATTTATTGTGATGCACAGACAGGGCTGGCATGCTCACCGGTGACCCTGGGGCCTGGGTCTCTGCCTTGCAGCGGGGACCAGCGGTTCTGCTGCTTGTTGGGAGGGGAGGGAGAGTGGAGGGCACATGATAAGGGCACACTGTGCCTTTAGTTCCTAGATCAGCCCGTGATTCGGAAGCCAAGAGGAACTTGAAGAGAATGTTTAGGTGATGAATGGAGGACGAGAGGGAGGCCACCCTCATATTTCACTCTTGTCACTGTACAGAGACGGGTGACTAGAAGACTTAGCTCCGTTTGACAGCCAGAAAAAGACTGAACTGACTTCCATGGTTAAGGGACTTGTCCTCTGCTCTCCACCCTGGGGAGGGGTCACCTGGTCTGCAGAGCCAGGAGGACCGTACAGCACCCACCACCCACGACCCAGCTCGGCTGAGCACAGGCAACGCCCAGTCACGGGGTTGCTGACATCGCGCGCAGCAGCTGCAGACAATGGCGAACATGGCTTCTCATAAATGGCTGGGCCAGATGTGCGAGATGTCATTTAGGAGACCCCCAACGCCAAAGCTTGTAAATATAACCCACTTCTCCAGGGAAAATGCCCCAAACCCATCCTCTAATAAAGCGACCGAGTCAGTGCCAGGCTTACCCAACAGACCTCATCCAGCCTAGTACCCAAGCACGCTGGCAAAATAGAGACCAGAGAATAGTTTTAAAGTATCGACCTTTGCCAGCGCATCGGCTTTAGTTTTTAAAATGAAATCCAAAATGTTGTTGTTGACATGTTGGAGCTACTACTTTCTGAGCTGTAGTGAGATTTCTTTAATGCCCATTGATTTCTGGGTAATAAGTTGTACCTATATGTCTCACTTCAATTACCTATTTAACATTCACTAAACCATAAATCCATCCCCAGAGCTCTGGGAATTTAGTTTAGAGTTCCTATGACTTTGAAAAACCATTGATCCCGCGTGCTCTGAGTGGCCACATGTCAGGCCTTTATAGCAGGTTAACTCATTCTGTGGCTTCCTTAATGTCTGTGAGTTTACATTTTATTGCATATCTATTATTTGTGTTGGGCTGTGATGAATGGTTTGGTTGCCTGGTTCAAAACACGTCCACGGTGACAGGAGAATGTAATTTGCTTTAAAAATGATGATTATAATGCTTTTCAAATAATCTGGGAATGAAGGAAACAGACATCACATTGCTCTACGTGAGGCCCATGCTGAAGGGGAAGCGATGGTGTACCTCTCCTCCACAGGCAGCTCCTGCCTCTCGTGACCTGCAGCAGGGCGGCCAAGAGGCTTCCACCTCGAGAATTAAGCCAACAGCCTCCTGTTTGGCCCTAGACTGATTCTCAGGAATAGAACTCGTGGAGCGGAGGCTTCTGTGGAATTGGGTACCAGGACACAGTACCTGAACGGCGCCATTCTCTGCTTAATGCTGCCACCTTGGGTCATTTGAGTAGTGATGCCTCGTGCACCCCCCAAGTCCTGAGGCCCAGCCTTGGTCCCTGGCTCTTAAAATGCGCGAGCCTTTTCCTTCATTGCTCCTTTGCGAAGAGGCCTGAGCCCAGACGGCACTCCCGGGGGTGTCTCAGAAGTGTCCCCAGAATACGTACTGCTTCTTTTCCTGATGTGGAGGGCTGCTCTCCCTTCATCTGCCCTGACCACCCCAGTGTTCTTTTCCAGGTTCTGTGGGATTGGAGTCACCAGGAGGGCTCAGTATGGGGGAGATGAATGGAGAGGATATTGCAGGAGGTGGACTCTGGGGACAGGAGCAATGTGCAGGTCAATGCTTACCAACTGGCTCTCCGGAGGAAGAAGAGCCTCCCCTCCCAGCCCCCTTACGTAGCATTTGTATGGTGTAAATTTCTGTGGTGTAAATGTTCCCATGGCCGATTTAAAGCTACTAATAATTTGTTTGCCTTCAAAAATTCCTGAAAAATCTAACAACCAACACAATCTAGGTCTAGGGAGCTGCCGATACTTGCACACATTCTAAAATTTAGAGATTTATTTCAGGGAATAAGCTCCTTGATCCATAAAGCAAACACCTCCCACAGCAGGCCAAGCCTGTCAGTCATTCACACATTATTCTAAACTACTATAAGCAGACACGAGTATTAACAGTGGGCAGGGAGGATGATGATGGGGAACCAACCGTACCTAGTCATGGGCACAACAAGCAGAGCCCTGTAACAGGGATTGGACTTTGGTGCTTGGCAATAGGGATGCTGTGAACTAGAAAGGTACCCCCCATGCCAAGCTCATGGACATTCCCGCAGGGAAGGATCACACTTGTTTCTCTCCTCTTATGTCATACACGTGCCTCTTCTATCCACCACAAGAGTCCTTCTTGCCAATGAATCACAAGAATTCCTTCTCTGGCCTTGTGACCGGAATAACAACAGCACAAAGAGATGGCTGCCGGAAGCAGTGACGCATTCCTGAGAAGTGGAACTCCCGGTAGAGGTTGGGGTGCGGGGAGGATGCCAAGATCTGTGGCTCGGAGCCTCAGTGCAATCTGGGGATCTCACACCTACTTCCCCAATTCCAGGGCCTGCAGGTCAAGTCCAAGGGTGCATCCCAGAGGGCACATGCATTACCAGCTTTAAACAGAGCCTGAATACCTTCTGTCATAAAGGGGTTACATCTCTTCTGGGACAAAGATATCCCCTCGTGTCTCGAGTTTGGGCCCAGCACTGCTCTTCCCATTTCTCACTGCTGAACTCTGCTAAGGTTCCCGCTTCTGCCTGGCCCAACCTCCGCAACCCTCCCACAGGATTTGTCCCCAGGCAGAGCTCCCTAGGGGCCAGGCCGAAGCCTGGGGACAGCCCTAAAATCTGCTCTCTCCATGTGCAGTCCCAGGATCCCCCGAGGTGTCTAGCAGCAAGCTCTCGGCCACATTTAAATCACAGGCTTAATGGGCTCCTCAACCAAGGCCAACCACAGCAAGACGAGCCTTTGTCCAAAAGGCAAAGAGTGAGTGCCCCCTCTTCCCATTCGCTTGCCTTTACCCTTTTCGTAAAGTTCAGGCTTGTTGCAAAACAAATCCAACTGCTTTCATCTATAAAAGAGACCAGCCTTGCAGACAACTGCGGACAGACTCCAGGCCCTGACGCGTTTTTGGCGCAGTTTCTGGGGCCATAAGCCCGTTTGCCCGCCTGGGGCCTGACTTACGGAAGGCCGTGCAGAACTCGCGGAGGGTCAGCCAGCCGTCACTATTGTAGTCATCGAATCGTAGGAGGTCACCTGGTGAGCACCCTAAGGAGTCCTCTTCCAAGTCTGGCTCCTTCAGCACATGCTGCGGATGAGGAAGGGAACAAGGTCGGAGGCTGGCATGAGTCCAGAGCTGTGGGCTTTGCTGGGACACGGCTCAGGCCACCAGCCTGAGGTCACTGGCCTGAGGTGGCGTGAGGACTCCCGTGACAGCTTAGTGGGCCATGGGGAGCACCCGAAGCTCTTTGGTTTTGTCGTGTCCAACTGTTCCGCTTTGTAGATGAGAAAACTGAAGCTCAGAGAGGGGCTTTCCTAAGGCCACACAGTGGTTAGGGCAGAGTTGGGATTAGTGTCCACGTATGTCTTCTCTCTGTCTAGGCAGACAGATCCCAGACAGTCTGAGGTGGGAAGGATCTTTGAGGCCACCTGGTCTACCCTTTTATGCTATTGATGGGGAACAGAGACAAGAAGGGGCCTGCCCAAATAAACTCGACAAACAAATAGTGGCAGTTCAACATGGGAACGAGGCCCCCTGGCTCCCAACTGTGTATAGCCGAAAGGTCCCTCCTCCATCGGGACCTCCCTACCCCTGTCCTACTGGCTGTGACCACTCTCAGGGCTGTGTCAGCTAGCCACAGCTCATCCTCCAGGAAGGGGCAGCTGAGATTCTGCTGACCTAGGCCTGATCCCCTGTCTTTGCCTGCCCTGTCCTGCCAGAGACACAAACATCTGGCCCTGAGACTCTGGTGCAGGGGTCATGCGTGGGCCCTTGTGAACTCCTCTCTGGATGTGGCCTGGGCCGCAGGGCACAGAGATCTCCCCAGCACGACCGGCCACATGACAAAAGGTGACTAAGGGTAGAAATTCCAGGCACTCTTACTCAGCTGGAACCAGAGGCCCGTGTGACTTGCAGGGAAAACGCTCAGAAGGAAATCTCAGAAGAAAGAAAATTTTATTTTCTTTTTGAAGGGAGAGGGGGACAGAGGCAGTTTCTCTTTATTTAACAGTCTCAGCTTCGTCTGCTATGTTAAAGGCAATTTAATGCGATAATGTTAAAAAAATGACCCTTCACCCAGCAAATAAGAGAGTTCGATAAAAGGGAGATCAACCATAACGTCCAAAATCAATCTTCCGGAGATGGAAATTTCCCTTTGTCTATTTCTGCATTGGAAATTGATTGACTTTTCATAGGACCGACAAGTTTTTCCATGACGCCTTTGATTCAGTGTCAAGGAAAGGCCCACTGTAGCTGGGCTGTGCTTGGCAGATTTATGAAATGGACTTTAAATACATTAAATTTTAAAGAGGAAATCATAGTCCAATTACCATGCTTGCTAATGGCTTCAGGTGCCTTGGGGCACGTCTCTACCAGGTTAGAGAGCAACATGACCAGGAAAATTCTGTTTACTTGGCAGCTACGAGGGAGCCATGTGGGCCTGGGGTGCCAAGAGCCCACAGCTGCCTGTCCTTGGCGCTCCCTGCACAGCCTGTAGCTTGGGAGACTGCCAGATGGTTCTTCCTGCAGAGAACCGTAACTAACAGGACCCAGTTTTCCTAGAGCAGCTTGGGTCATGTGTGGTTCACTGGCCCTGTCCCTTGGGGTCTTAGCCATAGTTGGGAGTGGGTGGTGGGGCTAGTGCTGATGGAGGTAGTGACATGCTGGCTGGCACGGCTGAGTTGGAATATGCCTGGGAGGCTGGCCCTGGATAAACTTGTATGTGTTGCCCAGGTGTGGCTGAGCAGAGTGGGGTCTGTAAGTGTCTTTGGATTTGTGTTTCCCAGCATGCTCCAGGAAGCAGGCTCTGGACTGGCCAGAGTAGAGGGCCCTGAGAGGGGGACCGGTGTGGCAGAGCCTCTGGGCGACTGCTCCGTACTCAGATTTTGTGGGCACTTGCAGGCTCCACGGACCTTGAGAGGAGCAGGTGGAGCCTCCTGGTGGGAACGATTATCCCCCAGGGACACCCCTGTGCTGTGAGGACAGTGGGTACACACACAGCAGCCCAGCTGGGGTTTATCTCAGCTCCATCATGTTCTAAGCAGTGAACACGACTCAGGCTTGATTTTTTTGAAACCTGTGTTTGCTCATCTAAGAATTTCTGAGAAGTGGAGATGACAGTCGTGCCTACCGCATAGCAGAGGATGGCTAAAAGGCTTGGTGAGGAGGTAATAGTTATAAAGATGATGACAATGACATTGATACTGACCACTGTCACCTTTCGAGAACGTAATATGTGCCAGGCACTGTGCTGAGCTCTTGTTGGGTCTTAGCTTGATGGTCACAGACAAGAAACGAAGGCAGAGAGGGGTGAGTGTCTCCCGAGACCTGCCGGGACTTGAACGCAGGTCCTCTGACCATAAAGCCTGTGTCCTCAGCTACTACACCACGCAGTAAGGGGCCCTTCTGTGTTTGTTACACTTCAGGGAAAGGGGATGCCCAGTAAGTGTGAGGGCGTGCCCCAGCCCAGTGCTTCCTGGTGACCTGGTCACAGCTTTGATAAGGTCACTACATCGCGTGCAGGGTTTCTTTAAAGTGGCATCAAAGGTAGGCACTCTGTAGTCTCTGGGGCTCAGCCCCCCCGCCCTCCCCTCCTCTCCCACGCCCCTCGTGCCTGGGCAGGGTGACCTTGCCTTCGTTTCTTGTCTGTGACCTTGCTCTCCTTGTGTATCTTTGCATCTGCCTGGTATGGTTCAGGGCCCCAGGCCCTTAGAGGCAAACCAGCAAAGCAGGAGCAGGATGCAGGCCCTTCCAGCCTCCTTCCTGCAGCCAGCACCCAAAGGTCCTCCCTGTATTTGGCAGTGGCTGGGTCCCAGGCTTCTTCTTTGCTTCTCTCTGTTATAGTTGCTAACTGTCCTCCTACCACTTCTTAGCTGGACAGAGGGACACGTGTGCCGGGTTTGGGGAGGGAGGCCAACCACAGGGCCCAATCTGAGCATTTTTCCAAAAGGAAAAACAGTGCTTGGGGGTGGAAGCAGGGCTTCCTGCAAGCAAGCAGTCTGGGGTTTGGGTTGTTGGTCTCCAGGGACTAAAAAACAGTGAGATCCCAGGGGAGGGGACTTGGGGACACCCAGGTTATAGCTCTGATGGTGTGTAGTGAAAACCAAGCCTGCTTCCAGCTGAGGAAAATGAAGGATTCAAGGAAGAAAAGATTTCCTAATGCCGACACCAGCCCCCTGGAAGCGTGTGCTTTGCCAGCTAGCTATGAGTGTTTCAAAGCTTGTTTGTAGATACTGGCTGAAGGTGGCTAGTGGGAAGAAGATGCTTGACATCGTTTTGTTTTTAAGAAATTCTCAGAGGTTTTGAACATAAGCTCTTGATCTTGACCCTGGAGCAAAGGCTTTTTCTCGCAGCAGGAGAGAGGCCTCCTTGGCATACTGGTAAGAGACAGTGACAAACCACTCTCCTCACGTGAATCTCTCTGCTCTCTTCATTTACGTGCTAAACGGAAAACTGGATGCCTCTGTAATTCAATACTCACCTGAGCCAGTTCAGAGCTGCTGAGGTGGCCATCACCATCTGCGTCCAAGTCCTTAAACAGAGATTCGACCAGGAGGCGCTTCTGGGAGGCAGGGTCTTGTTCGCTGTCCCCTTCTTGGCGAGGCTGCAGGCGTGTCTGAAGTGCCAGAAGGACATTCTTTAGGCGGGCGTAGTCGGCCATGGTACACAGGTCACCTGGAAGAGAAGATGAGGTTATTGCTGCAAGGCTCCTTGCTGTTAAGGGAACATTCATCCACCCCATTCATGACGAGTTACTAGGCTTTTACTGTGTGCAGTGCCACTGGAGTGGATGGGACCGGTCCATCTGCCCACAAGCTATCCTATAAATATTTACTGAGCACTGAATACATGTTACACATGATGCAAATGCTGGATGGAGCCTGTTTGTCCATCCCGCAGATGTTCACTGAGCACCTGTTACATGCCAGAGTGATTGTCGGATGGAATGGGGGAGTTAGTCCAGGGGAATTCAGAGTGGTAGCCCCACGGCAGCTTCAGGAAAGCCGGCCCCAATTCTATTTTGTGATATCTCGTCTTTGCCTTAATCCTACCTTAAAGGCTGCTTTTGAATACTTGTAGATTTGGGAGTTTTAGTTAACAGGACTAATAAGCCCTGCTTAAGTTAATTAGGTACACTCCCAGAGCTGGATTACTTCAAAACAAACATGTGTCCACAAGTCTATGACCAAGAAACAAAAGGAAGCTTTACGAAATTAGCACTGAAGCGCACAGCCGATCACTCGCGGGCCTTTCATCGCAGGCATGCAGCACAGCATTGGGCCCACACGGCGCAGTGGCAAACGAGGCCTGTGATGCACTGTGACACGACGTAGCTGATCTTGCTGGCGGCGGGCCATTAGGATAAACACCAGACAGGGCACAGCCCGTAAACGGAGGCTGTGGAGCCGTTAGCAGAGGAGGAGAGCCCCCCATCCCCAAGCATCTGGCTCTGCTGCATCTTGGAGAATCAGGCGTGGGCTCCTCGCCGTCCGTTCTGGGTGCAAGGCCAACGCGCTGCTGGGAACAGACTGTCTGGGGCCTCGAGTGCTTCTCCTTAATTGCGAGGCCAGTTTAGGGCACCAGGAAACATCTACGGGTTGGAGAGCCCCACAAGAGTCCACTGGGTTTGAGTCCCAGCTTTGCCACTGCCTGATGTGCACCTTGGACCAGGTACCTCAATGATTTCATCTGCGAAGTGGGGAGAACACTGCCTCCCACATAGGGCTGTTAGGAGTAAGATTTGCATATAAAGGGCTTGGCACAGAGTGAGGACTCACAACCCCATAGTTGCTTCCCCCTAATTGTTATTACAACTACACTAGTTGAAGAGCAGCAGACAGGCAAGCTATTTAGTGGGGGAAGAGCTGATGGGGGAGTCTGTCTGTCTGTCTGTCTCTCCCTCCCTCTTTCCTTCCTTCATTAGACAAGCCTGGATGCCCAACCACTTTTTCTTGTGCTTGTTTGTGTTTCTAGAATTTCTTCCAATTTGGGGTCAATTGATTCTTGTCAGAAACAGATGCCTGTTACCATTTCCTCCTGCATGTTTATTTAGGAAAAAAAATCAATTGTTGTGTTCAATATAATCAGATCTATTTGCTCTCTGACAGTCTCCCTGCTCTGACAGAGATGGCTCTCCCATGCCCCGACCACGCTCTTCGGCCTGCTGTGTATCCGTGTCTGGCCCTCTTGGGGTCACCAGGAGGCAAACTCAGTTCTTGCCTATAGAGCTGCAGTGGTAAAAAGAATGGTCTTGTCCCGCCCAGAGGAAGACGTGGTGGCCCGCTGGGGTTTTCTTCTTCTTGGGCTTGGATAAAGGTCAGTTTTGGGAAAGGAGGAGGAATAGTTTTGTCTGAATCTTGCTCCCTTGGCCCTAACAGAGTGAAATCTGGTCCTGGCAAATGGACCAGAAGTCGGGATGAGACAGATACACTAGCTGAGATGGCTTCGGCGTACGTGGTGAGGGCAGTCTCTGTGTGGAGGGACCTGTCCTGGAGGGGACTCCAGGCTTCCCCGGGGGCAGGCATTCATGCCCGCATGCTCGAGGTGGATGGATGTGGGGTTGACAGGAGGCTTGACTCAGAAATGCTAGTGGACGATCAGACTCCTAAGAACACACCACAGCAGGGCCACCTGAAGGACGGGCCAGGACAGGTCAGATGGGCAGAGACATCTCATTCTCTCTGGTTCCCATGCCACCAACTTTCTTCACAGACCTCAGATCTCCTCTGAGCTGCCTGCCACTCTGGGCCAAGGGTCTGCAGCCAGACACCCCCTCCCACTGGCAAGCCAGGGGAGCCATCGGGGTGGGCCTTGTCGGGTAGGTCACCACAACCCCTCAGGACCTGCGCTCCTATCACATCCCTACAATTCACTGAGATTCACAGGCTTCCGGCTTCCTCACCGTGGCATCTGCCCAGCACATGTCCCCTGGTCAGGAAGTTATGCACGCGTCTAGACATCAGCCCGGTGGAAAGGGGCGCCGGTCTCCAAGATCAGCTCCCTGAGCCCTTGGTCTTGCCCCCTACTAGGGCCCAGATCGGCCCTGCTCCCCTCATCCTTTTACCAGCGTTGACTTACGAACTCTGTGCCAGATTCTGGGCGGCCCAGTGGAGATATGATGGCTTCCGGTCCCGGGCATCCAGGGTACCCATGCAGGGGGAGCTAACAAGGCTGGGGTGAAGGAAGTCTCCCTAAAGGCAGGGTGTTCAGGATACCTGCAGGGTGAGGGAGTGTGGGGGACGAGGAGGCAGAGGGATCAGCATGTCAGGCAGCAGGGGTCGCATGTGCAGGAGCAAGTGGCGGAGCGTGTCTGGAGGCACCTGGAAGCTAGTGTGGCCGGGCTGGAGCGAGTCGGGGAGAGGGGGGCAGGACGAGGCCAGAGGGCAGTGTGGGAGCTGTGGCAGGATGCCAGGCAGTTCAGATCACAGTTGGCACAACTTCCTTCGTCTTTCCTTTCCTTCACTGAGGGCTCTCACCTTGCTGGGTCTGTGCTGGACATGGAGTCCCGAGATGAATGGAGGGGCTCGTGGAAGAGAACCTTAAATCTTCCTTTGTCTTAGGAGCTGTTGTGTCTTCCACGAGTCTCAAGAGAAGACGCGGCCTAACCTCAAATCGTTCAATCACTGGCCCAATATTATCGTGCATTCCTAGTGTCCCTGTATCCCTGGGGAGTCATGAGCACCAGAGGAAAGACACCCAATGGCAGTATTTGCGCACCCATGGAGATGGTCACTTAAGACTCCAAAGTCCAAACTCTCTCACTGGCACGCCCTCTGAAGCTCTACCTCCTGCAGGGACTGCCCCCTTGAAAGCTGTCCCCCAAGGCAGGCCTTGGCTCCCAGGATGCAGAACTTCCTAGCAAGGCAGGTAAAAGTGGTAGTTTACTAAGTCCTGGTTTTGTTTTTTCACTCACGACCACCCTGGTTACCCTATGGGGTCAGACGAGAGTGGCCCACCCGGCTGAGAGGTGGGTGTTGGCGAATCTGCCAGGCCTGGTCTATAGCTAAAAGGTCCTCACCTGGCTGCCAGTTTTAAACATTTGTCTTATAAAGGAAATACATGTCCATTGAAGAACATTTGGAAAGTGTAGATCAGTAGAAAGAAAGAAAAGAAATCACCCATGATTGCCTTCCAGAGCCTGGCCAGAGGTGAAGCCGGGCCCTCTGCACAGGTGACATTGAGCCCATGACAAAAGAAGCCGAGCCCCGGGCCAGTGGAGGCCTGGCCCACACCGTCTCTGTTTTCTGATCTTCCTCTTTACCCACAAGTTCCACTCACTTATGAGCAAGAGTGTCAGTGCCAAGGGTGGGGTCCTTCTCACCTTCATACGGGTCACCTGCCCCACCCAGCAGGCCCGCACAGGGGACTTGAAGGTGGAGAGCAGAAGCAACCCCAGCAGCACTAGCCACCAGTGCTTGCTCCTGTGAGTTGGGGAAAGGTGTGTGTGTGCGTGTGTGTGTGTGTGGGTGGATGACCTTCACTGCTCTCTCCTTCTGGAATGGTCTTTACACAAGTCTCTGCACACTCACTCTTGACCTCATCTTGGTCCCTGATGAACTGTCACTGGCACTCTCTGGGCCCTGCTCCTGACTGGGGCAGGCCTGGCTCCCAGGGGAACAGCCCCTTTGCAGGGAAGTTCCCTGGGGGGTGTATGGCAGAGTCTTGGGGACCACAGTACTCCTCCCTGGCGTCCCCAGGCAGGGCCACTCCCACTACCAGGGCCTCTGCGGCCCATCCTGGAGTATGGTCAAGCTTCCTCACTGATGGACCCAGGGACGGTTGGATTTCCAGAGAGGACTCTGAAGAGTGGGATGCCTGCGTATGATGTTGAGGTCTATGCCTTGAATGAGGTCAAACTGGGACTTGTAGGGGACCTGCTGCTTGAGTGGGCAGGATAGACATAATTAGCTCTACGAGGTCTCTCTCCACATGCTTAGAAAGTCATCGAAGTGTTTCCTCAGTGTCTTGGTGGTTTTCAGGTAAAGAGGAATTTATGTCTTCAGAAATAAGAGGATTTGTGTGTGCGTGTGTGACTTTAGGTAGGTCAGAGCCTTCTGATGAGGCTTGGAGAATTCTAGGCAAGTTCCCTGCTGACCCACACGCTCACGGTGCTGTGATGGCAGCCATCACATGCACGTCTTGGCACCTTCTCACATGCATTCCCTCCTCTTCTTCTTTCGCCTTTGTTCGGGGCCAGCTCGGTCCCCTCCTACTCGTGCACACGGAACCACCTCCCCCACCTGGCTCCTCAATCTCTTCCCAGAATGCTTTTTGTGAGGCTTGTCCTCCATCTATGTTTGAGCTCCTGCAAAGCAGCCCCCTGAGACGAGGATCTGGGGGCAACTAGTATTTTTGGAGGTGATTCCAAGAAGTATGAGAAGTGAGACTGGGGACGGGGAAAGCCAATAAAGGGTTGGTTGCTACTGTGGGCAACTGGGGCTCAGTCCCACGGGGCCTCAGAGAGACTGTGCTGAGCACGCCTCTGAGCTGCCCCACTGAGGGGTGAGGTAGCTGGAATGCTTCCACCAGTTTCCACCCCTCTCCCTCGTTGGCTGAGCCTTGCTCATGGGGCCATTAGGCACTCCCCCGGCCTCATCCAGCACATGCGAGGACCCAGAACACCCCTGAGGCCAGAACGTATTTCAGGCTGAAGATGCAGGTACCTGAGGTTGGAT